TCCGCGGACTGCGGCCGCTTCAGCCCGGCGACCGCGACCGCGTTTAGCTGCCCAGCAGCGCGGCATCCTTCTCCGTGAGACTTCGGGCGGCTTCCCTTCTCTGCCTCCGGCAAACCCTCCCTGACCATTTGAGTCGCCCCGCTTTTTGGTACTCGTCGGGTTTGTCCTTAAAACTGCTCTGAAAATGAAGTTCCTGCCTTGTTTTTTTTGTCCAAGTCATGCCCTTCATTTGCCTTGGAAATTTCGCAGATTTTGCTTGGTCACGGTGATGCCCTCCTGCTGCTCAAATTTCTTTGTATCAGCATATGTACCTCCCTCCTTTTGCGAGAGTAGCGTTTTTCAGTCCTTGCCATTTTATGCACCCTTAACTATTCATTTTTATGGATTTTTACATATAGAATTTAAGGCGAGGGACTATGTTTCATTACTACTTTTCGTTAAATCCCCTTAAGAACGAACGAATTAACAAACTGGGTGGTTTTGTGCTTTTCTCATTTTAACATTTCTATATATCATTCTGTATGTTCCCCTAAACTCTTCTGGGTGTCCGAGGTTAGATGCCTGGCCACTCTTCATTAAATAACTGATCAATGCTGCTATTTTTACTGCAAACTGTGGAAATAAATTATCTGACCTAAAAGGTGCTGGTGTCTGCTGTAGCAAAGCATGGAAACAGCCTCCTATTTTTCATTCCAGTGATGTGAGGGATATTCTAAGGTTTTAGGTGTGTTCACGTACGTCCCATTAAGTATAAAATATTAGTGATATTCTTTCATCTTTTTGGGGGGGCAGAGTAATTTCGCTGATTTGTAAGTTTCATGCCAAGTGTTGATCCAGAGCAACAAGAGGTGGCCTGTTTTAAGTTGGGAAGAGTCTTGAATGTTTGCATGAAAATAATAAATAAGGTCTATTTCTCATCTCAGCTTCAAAATAAAAAGAATGAAAGCCACAGTCATTTCTGTAACTATTTCTAGTGTTTCTCCACTCTGATGAAAACACAAATAAGGGTAAATAAGCTTAGCTACTCTCAAAGTTTCTGTGTTTATCAGCTCTACTTCTTGATGCTAGTGTTCAGTTTTGTTGCTAGATAAAAAACTTCTTATTAATTATGACTTCTGAATTCTGTGTTTCTTTCCTCTTGGGTGTAGATTGGGTGTTTGACTCTTGCTGTCCCTTCTTAGGGTTGTAGTAGAAAGATAAAGGGATAATCTCACAAACCTTGTATTTTTGTTATCCAGAGATAAACATTAAGAAGTATTTCTTTAAAATGCAACTTGAAATGCTGGGTAGAAATTGTAAGACCCTGAGCTCTCATCAGCCCTGTTGTCCTTAACTACCATGTACATTTTAATGGTACATGCTTTGCTTTCCACATGATTGAAGTCTAAATATTTCCCTTTGCTTGAATGGCCAGGTATGAAAGTAAATGTAACTGGGTGGATTGCTCTTGTGTGCAGTGCTAAGACTTTTCAATAAAGGAGTACGCTGAAGGAGAGTACTGATCTCAGATGGTCTGTACTGAGGGAGGTTTCTCACACAGCAGAATATGATAGTTGTCCCATCTTTGGAAATGTTACAGAGTAGAAGCCTAGAAAACTGCTAATCAGCAAAGTCCTGGTTTGTATTTTCAGGTGAGTTCTTAGACACTGCTGAAGGTACAGAAAGTTCTCCTTTGCTCTAATGGTGCTCTGCATTAGGAGGAATCACAAGTCTAGTTCACATCAGTGCAATATTTTCTCCTGTCTCCCAGAGTACCTCTTTAACTGATAATTGAAACTGCAAGAGCAAATTATAACCAGTGCAGTACATACCAAAAGAACTCTACTTTTTCTTAAATTGTTAAAGCTAAGCTCATTTCAAAGCAGTAATAAACAAAAGAATAAGACCAATAATCTGTTTAAGAAAGTACTGGAGCAACTTGCAGATTTGGCAGTTTTCATCCAGTTTTAGTTTTCTGTAGCTAGCTTTTCACCAGTGATAGAGACTTTTGGTCACTGAAAAGATGAACTGTACTCTATCTTGCTTTGGGCTTGTAAAAGATGTCTGGTCAGTATGTGATGGCAAACTTCTTGTTGTGGACAGTGGTTTTCTTAAAATAGTCTTATTTTGGCAGCAGTGACCATAAGCAGTAACAATTTTCTTAAAAAGAACTGGCCCCAGCTATCACAGAGTGGTTTGTCTACAGACAGTGAATGAATGCATGATGTTAATACAGTCCAAAAATAGTCAAAGAAGATTTCATAGTGTAGAGTGCACTTGTTATGAAAAGTAACGATAAAAATAAAATCTAGGCTCTTGGGGAGTTGCTGAATGAAAATCATGGAATCATAGAATGGTTTGGGTTGAAAGGGACCTTAAAGTTCATCTAGTTCCACCCCCCCTGTCATGGAGGCACCTTCTGCTAGATAAGGATACTCGGAGCCCTATCCAGCCTGGCCTTGAACACTTCCAAGGAGGAGGCATCCACAATTTCTCTGGGCAAAGTGTTCCATTATCTCACCACTGTCATTGTAAAGAATTTCTTCCTAATATCTCATCACCTGTCTTTGAAGACAGAAATTTCTTTCACTCCATAAGGGTTGTTATGCTTGAGGATTTTCATCAGCAGGGCCTGGGCCATGTACCACGCTTCTGTTCCGCTCTTGCTTTCCTTCCAGGGTGCGTTTTCATAGATACCCTTTAGCTACTGCAAGTTTGCACAACTGTCAGAGGAGGTTGTGCCCTGCTTCCAAGCAGTGGTGCTTTCCTGCCTTGGAGAAGCACCTGGATCAGAATGAATTTGGATGAAAACTAATCTCTTGTGGTCAAAGGGGTCTGGTAGGTGCACAGTTGTTTGTTGCTGCAGAAGAGAAGCAGCAGGTTTACAACAGTTTAAATTGGTAGTGGAGCTCTAATCTTAAACTTTTCAAAGTGATACTAGGATCTTTTTGGAGTCAGAGCCTCTGTTCTGATTTGAAAGCTTGTGAACATTTGTTTTTATTTTGTTTGGGTTTTTTTTCCGATATGTTATTGTGTTATGTCATTGTATATGTGTATCCTGCTCCAGCACTGAAGCATCGTTTTGGTGGGGTGTTGCTTTAGGATTTCTAGACCTGGACCAACAGCGCTGTGATATGTAGGTCCCTGCTGCTATCTCTCCCATTTTATAGGACCTTTGTGGGTGTGACAATAATTGTACAAAGATGGTTGTAAGCGGATCCAAATAGTCTTGGGGATGTGTAATGACAACACAACTGTGCTGGATTTTAGAAAAGATGGTAAGGTTTTCCTGATGAGGAAGATGGGTAAAATTGCACCTATCTGGAAGAAAGGTAAGAGTATTAAGGAGAATTAATAAGTAAAATATTAAGTGTGAAATTGAAACATTTTTGTCTTCACATGACTTGCAATTTTTTCATCTTTTTTTTTTATTTTATTTTAACCAGTATGCTTTTGATGAAAGTATGTTAACTGTTCTCTTCTCCCTTTCTTCCTTTTTTAGCTTGGTTTTACTCTTGGGAATGTGGTTGGAATGTATCTGGCTCAGAACTATGATGTGAGTATCCTTATATTCTCAGAGTTAGACATATTCTGAACTGAAAATATAGGGTTGTCCCCCAGTCAGAACCAAATCAGTCTTTATTTTGATGGTTTATTTTATTTAAACAGAATGTAGATCGTACTGACTTTTACAGATGAACTCAAATGTAGTTGAAACAGAACATCTACCTCTGACATCTTCTCTGTGCTAGAGTAATGCCTAGGGCCTTAACTGGTGTTGAGGGCTTAGAGCACAGGTATGGTAACCAAGAACATACATAGAGGCAGGAGAAACAGAAGAGGTTTAGGAGATGCTCATGGATTGTACTGGCACTAAAATATTGGTTTCCTGACTCAGTCTTGTCTGCTTACGGTGTTCTTCACTCAGTGCACCTGTTTTTCACTTTAAAATCCTTCACAGCATCTGAAATTTCTGTCTTCTGTACTAATAATGAAAATAAGTTTTGCCATCTTTTTTTTTTAAAATCCATCACCTGCTCTTACTTCAAACAGGATATTGACCTGCTCTCTTTTGTTCCTTCTTTTCCCACAGTGAGAAAAGAGTATACTTCCTTTCCTCAGTCCTCGCGGTGAATGTAGACCTTGCACTGTGAGAGTTAAAAGAAGAATATTTAGAGCTGAGTTTTCAATATAAGCTCAGTTTCTGCAGTCAGCCAAATCCCTTGTCAGAGTAGTGCCATGTAGCTATTTACAGTCTGGAGGAGTTAAAGAAATTTAACATTTTTTTTCCCTTATGCAATCTAGGAAAAAAAAAACAACTGTTGTTCCTTAAACTCTGATGACATTCATGTTTTGCTTTCTTCCCATCTTCACTACTGAAGTCAGCTTGCTTGCAGAATTCTTGTCTTTTTCTCCTTGCTCACGTGCAAACTTTTGTGGTGCTTCCTGTCCAGTCAATCCAGTAAGAGTGCTAATAAAAGGCTGTTTTTTCTTTTCAATATACGTTGTACAGTGTTACGAAAATGTAGTCATAAGAACATATTTGGGTGTATCAACCTTTATCATAGGCGTGGTGTAGTGCTTTTCTGGCAGCACTAATAATTGCCACAAGAGGGAGACGTGGATTTGATTTGCAGGAAGGGGTTCCCTGAGACACTTACACTGCCTTGCAGGATGAACATGTTAATTTTATTGCTGGTATCAGAGGTGATTTGTTTTAGATGACATCTAAGATAAACTTGTCATAATGTACATACAGCTGCAGAATTAGGACCTCGTGGGCTTAGTTATAAGCATGTGGAGGGTTCTGCTCTCAGCAGTGGAGTTCTCTTGGTTTAGCTTAAATGTCAGGCATGTTACAGGCTGGGCTCTTAATTTCATTTGCTCAAACAGAGTTTGACTTTGAAAGGGAAGGTAAAAGAGAAACACATTATCTGTACTGTCATCATCCTCAATCCATCCAATGAGAACTGCAGTCTGGATTAACTTCTGCTCTGTGGCCATATTACATATGAAGTAAAAGCCAATGATTTTTTTTGACAGCTACCTGTGGGCATTATGCTTTACTTTCATTTTAATCAGTTGGCTTGTAAAATCACGTTGTCAATTCCCAGTTTTAGATAGAGTCATGAGATAATCTATTCCTTGCCCTTAAAAGTTGCTGCCTTTTCTATTTTCAAAGTTGTCAAAGTTTAATGTTTGATTCTTTTGTCAAAATACTTTTATTCACAAGAGAAAGATGAAGTTTTTAAGTCCACAAGCAGCAAACTGAATTTTCATTCCAGTGTGAAACTGCAAGAGGTTGCTAATTTACAATGAGGTGGAATTCCTTGGTAGGGACTTTTGGTTCCCACAAGATGGACCAGGAGAAGTATTTCTTCATAAATTTCTTGAGAACAGAATTGCTGCTTTTGAACTTCTCTTTCTCTTGGTTTGTGACCAGTATAGTGCAATCTAATTTCCACTCCAAAAGTCATTATTAAAGCCTGTGCATCAGTGTTTAAATTGGCTTATTCTTGCCAGTTTGTCCTTTTTTCAATGAGGAAGCCAGACTCATCTCTACTGAATTTCCTGCGATCTTTTGTCCTCTCTCCTGTACCCATCACCGCTGGCTGACATGGTCTTAATATGAAATATTTCCCGAACCCTTATGTGAGGTGCTTTCATCTGCTGTTTGCTTGATGTTGCTTTGGTTTTGGCCTTTGTGTAAGGTAACAGAACTTGGAAGCAAGTATCTTTTATATCTTTTAGTATGTTTATAGTGTCGTCTTTCCTGCTGAGGCTTATGTAGTTGAGGATTTCTTGCTAATTTGTATGTTTTTTGTTTACTTTTTCATTTTATCTTAAAGATTCCTAACATTGCAAAGAAGCTTGAGGAATTTAAGAAGGATGTGGAAGCTAAGAAGAAACCTCCCAGTGACAAGTCCTAAGAATGCTGCAGTGTTACCCAGGTCACCTCTGTGCACACATCAAGGATGCAATTTACCTTTCAGGCAACAAAGATCAAGTAGAGGGTTGGTGTGGGAAGCTTCCCCACTTTTAGTCTTCTAAAACTGGAATGTTCTTCTTTTGAAAGAGCAGCTGTGAACTTTTCCTGGGACTGATTTTTTTCAAGGGTTCCAGAATTTGAATTTGCAGCTGATACGTGACTGGATCAGATAATTTGTATTTTTCCTTATTGCTCTTCCTAATATTTTGTAACCTGTTTTTACCTGACCCAACCAGAATCCTGTTATTATGTGTACCTCACACTTTGTGATACCCTAGTTCTTAAATCATTGCAAAAGAGATTAAATGCATCCCGAAGTAACTTTCAGGGTTTCTTGTCATTGGTTGTGAGCAGTGGTACTTCACTGTCCCTAAGATCTACATTCCGTTTTTGGAGTTGGGAAAGTTCATTTGTCAAGCTATGAGCCTGGGAGGAAGGCAGGAACGCCTGCTTTCTCCATTACATTAAATGATCATTTCCATCAGTGGAGATTTTGCACAAATGTGGCTGATTTAAAAAAGTGTAAAAGGCCATCAGCTTTAACCTACATTTCAAGTTCATTCTTTCCTCTGTTCTTGTCTCTTCCTATTCTCCCTTCTGCTTCATTGTTTGAAGGTGACTCCAGACTGATGGGGAGGATGGGAGAGAGAAAAGTTACATAAGTGGTAGTTGGAGGTCAGCAAGTTACGTTGTCAATCCAAACCATTCACTTTATATACTTAATAGTCCAGTTTGTGTAATTGACCTAAGTATGATTTTTTTTTTTACTGCCTCTTGGTGTGGAATCAGGACTAGAGCTCAGTATTTTTACCAGATATGTTTGATATACATATTACTTCCTCATTCCTGTGTGTGGTCTTCAGCTCATTGCTTCTGCATTTCATTCCATTGTCTACCATGTATTTTCTTAGGACTAGAATCATTTATCTGTTGTCTCTCTTATTGTTTGTCTGGTAGACAAGACAAGCAGATTGTTTGTCTTTTCACCCATTGCTGCCACTAAAAACGTTGGTGTGTGAGAAAATAGAGATAATTTTGTCGTATTGTCCTCTTCTGTTTGACTGGAAAGCAAAGTCTGCATTTGGAAGCCATAGTTTTGCACACATTCTGTTGTAAATTCTGAAGGAAAATAGTGCAGTAATTTGAACAGATATAAGTTCTATTGATTCAACAGTCTACCAACTATATTTTTCTGTTAGGTAGGCATCCCATCAACTCTGTATGATGGATTAAATCACTGAATCCCCTTGACAGTCTCTTGCAGGACATGAAGGACAAAGAAAAGTACCAGAAGGATATTCTCCTTGCTTTTATTAACAATGCCTGATCATGGACTGCTATGGGCAAGTGGGAGTAACAAGCATAGAGAATGATCTCCTCCACTCCTTCAGGCTCTTGATTAAAGCATACTGTGGTGGGCTTACTCTGGCTGGACACCAGGTGCCCACAAAAGCCTCTATCACTCTATAGACCTTAGCTGGGCGGGAGAGGGAAAATACAATGAAAAGCTCATGGGTCGAGGAAAGGACATGAAGATCTCTCAGCAATTACTGTCACAGGCAAACCAGACTCAACTTGGGGAAGAATTAATTTATTACCAATCAAATCAGAGTAGGATAATAAGAAATCAAATCTTAAAAACACATTTCCTTCACCCCTCAGTTCTTCCCAGGCTTAACTTTATTCTACATTTTCTCTACTATCTCCTTCACAGCATTGCAGGTGGATGGGGAATCGGGGTTTGAGTTTGTCACGTTTTTGCTGCTCTTGTATAACTTTGCAAAAATATATTTCGCCGGGGGTTTTAAACCCGCTGGTTTTGCCCGGGAAGAAAACACCCCCAGCGGGACCCCCGTATTACCTCCAGGGTGGTCGTCAGTGAAGAGGAGGGCAGTGGCGAGTAAAGGAGGGATGGGCAACGATCGCTTTCTTCCAAAATAAAAGGTTTTAATAACATGAAAATAACAAACAAAAACACCTGAGGCAGGCACTGAAACAGCACCCACCCCAGGGGAGAAGCGAAAGAGCATGTGGCCTTGGGGCCAGGGGTTTTTAACAGGTTGGTAGGTGGGTTTACAAAGGCATTGTCCTGTAAGGGTACAGAGATGGGTTACCTACAGGTCAGGGGTCCAATGGGTGTTAGGGGATAGGTCTTGTGGTGGCTAAGCCAACCACAACCTGGGAAAGGTGGAAAATTCTGGACGTGTACCCACGTCTGGGGACAAAGAGGCAACAGAAACCTCTGTCTCCAGGAGGCACACTGCAACACTCTTGCCTCTCAGGGGGAGTATTCCTTCTGCTCTTCCCCTGCCCTGTTGTGGGGTCCCACCTATGGAAGTCCCACCTGCAAACTTGTTCAATATGAGTCCTTCCTGCAGGCTACTGTTCTGCACAAACTGCTCCAGTGTGGGTCCGTTCCACAGGGTGTAGGATTTCAGGAACAGACTGTTCCAGTGTGGGTCCCCCATGGAGTCACAAGTCCTGCTGGCAAACCTGCTCCAGTGTGGGCTCCTCTCATCAAAGCTCCACGGGTGCTGCCAGGAGCCCATTCCAGCACAGGCTTTCCATAGGGTCACAGCCTCCTTTGGGCATCCACCTGCTCTGGCATGGGGTTCTCCATAGGCTGCAGGTGGGTACCTGCTCCAGCATAAACCTCCATGGGCTGTAAGGGAACAGCCTGCCTCACCATGGTCTTCACCAAGAGCTGCAGGGGAAACTCTCTGATGCCTGGAGCACCTTGTGCCCCTCCTTCACTGGCCTTGGTGTCCACAAGGGTGTTTCTCTCACACACTCTAACTTCTCTCTTTGGCCATGACTGCTGTTGTGAAGCAGATGTTTCCTCCCTTCTTAAATACGCTATGATGGAAGCACTACCACCACTGCTGATGGGCTTGGCTTTGGCCAGGGGTGGGTCCATCTTGGAGCTCCCTGTCATTGCCTCTGTTGGACACAAGGGAAGCTTCAAGCAGCTTCCCTGTAGCACTCCTTGCTACCAAAACCTTGTCATGCAAATCCAGTATACAGAATGCTTCACCACTATTTTTTTTAATTTTTAATTAGGACAGGTTGTGCCTTCACAGTGAATTGTCCTTTTACCATGTTTTCATTCTCATCACTGGACAACTAGAGCCCACGGACTGGATTCTTCTCATGAAAGACTAAACCAGGAGATATGCTTTGATGTCTAACGTGTGTTTAGTGCATTAGGCAGGCCTAGAGACATTCAGAGGGAAAATATCCCAAGTGTTGGGCACTGTTTTACTCTGCAGACCCAGTGGACTGTGCTATTTGAGACAAACGGAGCTTGAAAGGAGCTTTAAGTAAAGGACTCCCCATTGTGATTTTCACCCTCTACCTCAAAGGTGTTGAGATACATCTGGGTGCAGGAGCTTTCACTGAATCAGGAGAGACACATTTGCAGAATTTTACTTCCTTTTCCGAAGTTTGGTGATGGCAGAATTATTCCACAATAAAATCCTGCATTTGATGAAAGTAATTATCATCTAAATATCCTCTGTAAAGAATATAAATATATATATATGAGAAATATTTCACCTGTAATTTGCCATCCTTCCCTTTACCATCTACCTCAAAATGTGTAGCTGACGTAAAAGCTTTCAGTCTTTGCCAGTGAATATTTGGCAAGTTCAAAGCCACCTCAAGTCAGACAATCTTATTAGGTATGCTACCAACTCTCTGTGTAGTAAACTCTCAAAAAGCTCGAGCAGGGAGATCATTTTTACCACCTACCATTAGTTATCAGAACCTTGCAGTATACCAAAAATGGGCTTGATGAAGCAAGTTCACAAAGAATAGCTGCATTTGGGTGGTACTGGAGTAGTAGCTTATGCTCTGGTCTTTGACACAGCTTTCATAGCTGTCATAGACTTCAGACCAGACTGAAGGAGCTGTCTTCCAGGCACAAACCTCCCCAGAGAATGAGACAGCACTGCACAGCGCTTTTAATGTTTTCATGAATTTGATGAACTTAGTCTCCCCTAGTTTCTTCCTCCTGCCTCCATGTTCTCTCTTTTTTTTTTCTATTCCTGAGCAGTTTTGAAAAATGCTAGCTCTAACCCACTCATATTTCTTTTCTTGTCACATCAAATTATGTTAGTGTTTAAAACTGGGTTATTTCTCCTCTCAAACATGCTTTATATTCTTCCCTTTCTTTACACGGACATGGGAACAGAAGTAACACTCAGAATTTCTATTTGTTACCAAACAGGCCGGTGTTACTCTAAAAGTGTAATTTGGGACTGAAACTTTCACTTGAGCATTCCAAGCAGATGTAAGGATTTTTTTTTTCCCTATCAGATTATGAAGTGAACCAGCTACAGCTGTAGTGCTGTGGAAACAATGTACGCTCATTAATAATACAGACTGGACTTTTTAAGTGTTTCACACTGTTTGCAACACTTTCCACTTTAGCACAAGCTGTTGTTTTTATTCCACATAGTAAGCATTGTAACACAATTGTTGATTTTGCAACTACTGTATAAGACGTTTTACCTAACCAATTCAGCCTGAGGCTACACTGGATGATACTAAAGGTTAACCTTATCTGTCGGAGGTCTGAGAGTACACACAGATAATGACTGCTGGATGCAATATCTTGCATCTGAGAACTCGGAGGGCTTTGGATACAGTGGTGTCACAGCAGGCCTCAACAGATGAATGCATCTTCAAGACATCTAGGAGCAAGTTTCCCACTTAACATGGCTACCGTGAATTTCTGCACGTTCAAAATGACAATGTGGAACTGATGGCTAAATGTGCAGTTCTGTTCATTTCATGTATTGATTCTTTTGAGACATGTCCTAAGAGCTGAAGATTTGAGGCAAAAGGGGAGGAAAGGAACGTATAAGATACTAAAAGACTTCTGAAATATTTACCGTGGATTGAGACTTACCTTGTGATGAAAAATGCTGCCCAAAGGCT